ATATATATATATATATATATATATATATATATATATATATCTGTACACACAGGATAGAAAACTCAGCATCGGCTGCCTACGGTAAGAACAACCTACCAACTAACCCAACCAATTACTGCAACCCCTCCTGGAGGACAACACTGGAAATATTAGGAAACGGAGTTATGGCTTACACGGGAACGAAAACTAGTGGTCGCGTGGCTGAGGTGTACGTACACCTCAGTGTACTGAGGTGTACGTACGTACACCTCGACGCGATACCTCTTGGAGGCGCCACCGCATTATCAGCTGCTCAGCGGCCGAGCAAAGCAGCAGCACCACAGGCCCTGATGCTGCAGGCCAAAGGAGCAGCGGGCCCTCGGGTGTATGTACGTACACCACAGAGGGGGCGGATTCAAACGCAGGAAAAAGGGCGGCAAGGAGCATCATTTATGTTTCAAAGCTCGGCTCGGGGGCCCCACACCAAGGGCCTCTAATGGGAAGAGCAGCACGAGACAATCGGATTGAAACGGTTACTGAGGGAGGGGTCTGTCTGTACAGCCCGGGCCCCTCAAGTCGCATTCATGCATGCATGCATGCAACGGTGTGTGAATAGGGCTTGTGGTGGCCCGGAGGGCCCCTCAAGCCGCATGCATGAATAAGTGCATGCATGCATACATCAAGGTGCAGATGAATGGATCTGTGGGTGGGGTCTTCTAGGGGCCCCTTACGACGCATGCATGCCAGCATGCATGCAGCACGTTCGAATGGGTGTTGTAGGGCTTCGAGGGCCCACTCAGCAGAGGAAGTCGGCATAGGTGGCCTTTCTGTCTCCTACCCTGGATCGATACACCCGGCGAGAGGTGAGGCCGGCTTCTGCTGCTGCACTTTGCAGCGGGTTGCCGCTGTCTGAGGCAGCCCCATCGCTGGCGCATGCAGTGGAGGCTAGAGAGTCCCTTCTAGCCAGTTGGGGCTTTGTGGGGCGCGCGTTCTTATTATCTTCTCTCTGCTTACCCTCTCCTAAGAGGCGGCCAAAGAGGCTGGGTAGCAGCGCAGCAACGGCCATTGTCTGCTCTCCCACGGATTCGGGATCCACCAGGTCTGAGGGGTCGCCCTCCATCATGTCCGCTGGATCGACCGATCCCAGGGCTGTGGGATCGACCGATCCCAGGGCTGTGGGATCGATCGCTCCCAGGCCTGTGGGGTCGGCCGCTGCTGCAGCCCCCAATGCCGCCGCCGCTCCCCCCGCCGTCGCACCGCCACCCCACCAACTGCCAAACAAATTCTGCCCCATCCCAGCTGAGAGGCTGTGCAGCATGCCGCCGCCCGTTCCCGCTGAGCTATCGACCCCCAGGGCCCCCTCCACGAACCCCTTTAGCATTGAAGAGCCCTTGGAGGGGCCCTCTGCTGCTGCTGCTGCTGCTGCGCCATCGAACGCGCCGGGATCCATCCCGGGAGCGCCTCCCGTCGGAGATACACCGAAGTCCGCGGCCCTCATGGCTGGGCCTGCGACAGCAGCAGGACCTCCTGCAGCGTGATCTGCTGCTGCTGCTGCTGCTGCAGCTGGTGTTGCGGAGACGGTGTGTGGCATGGGAGAACTATGAGAAGTGCTGGCGAAGGCCGCGGTAGAGCTGGTGGGCCCCTTGTGCAGCTGTAGGAACTTGGCGTGGGCAGGGGTCCCTACTGTCCCCGGCATAATCTCTTCTCCCCCCTCAGTACCTGCCGGGGGGGCCCCAACATAGTTTGTTCCTGCGCTCGAGCTGGGGCCCCCATGCTGCCCTGTTAGGGGCCCTTGAAACCCTGAGCCGCGACTGGCTGAAGCCCGCGAGGCCTCTCCGCCGCCGTGGGCTGCACTGTGGGTCCCCTGGGTCGAGTGCGGTTGAGGGTGGGCTGTATGCTCACCTCCAGTCGCTCCTGTGTTCTGCGTACCGTGTGTTGAGTTGTGGGGATGGTTAGATGTGGGGCCCGAGCTGCCTCCATGTCTTCCTGCTGTTGCTGAAGCCCCTGACGCGTGCGGTGTCTTCGCACCTCCGTGTTTGGGGCCCTTAAGTAAACCTGCTTTCTTCTTTCTAAAGCATGCCTTCTGAGCTACTTTCAGCATAGAAGAGTTAGCTGCTGCTGCGGTCCCTGCACCTGAAGCTCCCTTTACACCTGCCGCTCCTGCTACCGTAGAAGGGGCGGCCGCACCGGATGCTGCGGACCCCTTAGCAGCTAACAGGCTCAAACCTGCCTTCCCAGGAGAACCACCTGCTGCTGCTGCTGCTGCTGCTGCTGCTTTGGCCGGCGCTGCAGCGCCAGCCCCCGTGCCCGCTGCCCCTAGTGCCGCATCTCCCGCATTGGCAAGGAAGGATGTGGAGGGGGCTGCTGCTGCCGTTGCTGCCTTGCCCGCCTTCAGCGACAGCAGCACGGAACCCATCCCTTTGCTGAGGGGAGCCGCCCCCGCTCCAATGAACGAGGTGGGATCGACTCCCGATCCCGCCGCCTTCGCCCCCAGGGCCGCCAACACCGTCCCCATAGCCAGCACGTTGTGAGGCATTGTGGGGCTATTCACGGCAACTGCAAGAGGCACAGAGAGACAGATTCAACAGTGAAATGTTTTGATTGTACTTAGATGGAACAAGGCCAGCCCGACAGCTCGGAATAACAAAGACGCGAGTACCGGGGAGGCCCCACCGGAGCAGGCCTTGATCTAAACCTAGGAACCCAGACCCCTGGGGTATTTTCAACTGCTTTGCAATATTTTAATAAATAGAAACAAACAAAATAAAACAAACTGAACGAGAAACAGCAGCAAGCCATCCCCCCTCCTGCTGCTGACGGGTCTGCCGCACGCAACATCAGGGGTAGGGCGACGAGGCCCGGGTAGGGGTAGTAGGGGCGGCGAATTAGTTGTACGGTCTCTGAAATTGTTTTGAATGAATCGATGAATAAAAAGTATTTTTACAATATAATATTTAATTTAATTGTTTAAATATCTCCAAACTATTCATAAATATATGCCAATAACTTGAACGGCTGGATGACTCCGCGCTGAAGCTTCTGGCGGCATTGCGTGCTTGTCTACGTATGTCTAGAAGAATAATTCGAAGCAAGAAAAAGATAAAAGTATTGAGGGGGATAATTATGTCTAATTAAAGCAAAACACAATTAAAAGACTAGCATTTTTGCTCTTCTCCCGTGGCGCCTTCTCCTCATTGCCGCCCCCCTATACTGTGATTATATTATGTCATTGGTAGAATCTCAGCTGCTGCATAACACTAAACATTGCTGCTTTTCTGCTGTTTTTTGCTTCTTATTATTTCGCTATTCCTAGCCTCATGTACTTTAGCTTTTGTTTGCCTGGGGCCCTTCAGTACACAGACAGGGGCCCAGCCAGCCCTGGAGTGGCGTCTTAACTTTAGGGCTGGGGTTCTGCTTCCAGGGCCCCACAGGCAAGACCCTCGCATTCCTTTTCTTTTATTTTCCCCATTTATTGAACAGCTGCATCACCCCACTTAGACGCTGAAGCGCAGACTTCCACAAGAGGCGCCTTCAAGGGGCCCCTCCTGAGCTGCGCTGACTGGAGGGTGGGGTTGCTGTGTAACACACTCGCTTCTGCCGCTTTCTCGCCGCTCTTTGCGAGAAAGTAATCCCTAGACAAGTGTAATAGGCGGACATAGAAACGCCGGATTCCCACGAGGGCCCCCAGTGCTGCTTCATCTGCTGCCGTTGAGGCAGCAGCCGGTCTTCGCAGGCCTCTTGCTGCGTGTCTTAGAGCGACAGACAACAAATACGAAAAAAGCTGCTTTTCATTCGCTTTCTATCTTCTTGAGTCGTGCGCTGCACCGTTAACAACGGCCGCAGCAGCAGCAACAGCATCAGCTGCTGCAGCAGCGGCAGCAGCATCACCTACAGCAGCACATGCTGCTGCAGCGGCAGCAAAATGAGCTCCTCTGACTCGGAAAATGTTTACGCAAGTTCCAGCGAAGGAGAGGAGGAGACTCCGTCTGTCTCCAGGGGGGGCGGCGGCGGCAAGCGAGCCAAGAAGACAATTGAAGAGGTATAGTAATTATAAAGCACTCGGCCTTTGCTTGGGTTGTGAGGTTCCCTATACGATACATCTAACAACTATACACACTATGCATATATATTTATACTACTCAAGGACACAACAAAAACATGCCTTCACAGGAAGGACACAGCTGCTGCAGCTGCAGCAGTAACACAAACAGCAGCCGCTGCAGCAACAACTGAAGCAGCAGCCCCTTCAGCAGCTTACATACTGACTCCCTTTGTGCGTTCGTTCAGTAAGCAATGTCTTGTTATGCCTCGTATGTATGCACCTCAGCGCTATCAGAAGAAGTCGCAGCTGGAGCATATCTTGCTGCGCCCCGATTCATACATCGGCAGCACAGAGATAAGCGCACAGCAGGTGTGGGTGATGCCTGAGGGGGAGCTTCGCATGCAGCAGCGAGTAATATCTTTCCCTCCGGGGCTGTACAAGATTGTAGATGAAATCCTTGTTAATGCAGCAGACGTAAAAGCTAGAGAAACAGAAGGCGCAGGGGCGCCCAGAGCGAAGATGACAGCCATTAAAGTCAGCGTAGATCAAGCACAAGGATACATCCGAGTATGGAACGACGGAGAAGGTAAGAAAAATTTATTTCCTTGTAGGGCATTACGGGTGGCACTACGAATCATATATATGCATGCATATATATATATATATATATATAT